GCGTTGTTTAAAGCAGAACTTTTAGTCTTTCGGGTCATGCTGTCATACCTGTTGGTCCTCACAGTCACAGTAAGTCCCATCTTTTACCTGTCTTAACTGAAAGTATTTTGTATTTATAGCTATTTACTGTATATTTACATTATTTTTATACAATACATATGCTGAATTGATATTGTTATTGTTCAATTAATTTTTTAAAATATTTATTATGTAATTAATTAAATTTATTGATTGTGGATATTGCTGAGGTTATATAATAGTTCACTTTTTTTTACTTCCAAAAGCATTAATAAAGGTAACAATTATCGAGATAATTTAGTAAATAATTTAATAATGTATTAAAAATGTGACTTATGCATTAAAAGTCATCCTATAATTGTTTCAATATCATTAAACACAATTATTCAGTAAATGGCAGAATTGCGTCCACTATCATTTGGTGCAGCAAATGTGTTTATGTGTGTAAATCAGGTGACTGTCGAGGCTCAGAGAATTCAAGGTGAACAGAAGGATGATTCCTGCGTGTGTAAATTAAGCAGCTCTATCTGGGCTTTTCCTACGGTGAGGTTTGAGGGAGTTCAAAAACAACTCCAGACCTGTGAGGAAAACCTTATAAAGTTTCATAATAAGGTGAGATTCTTTCAATTCATGTTAGATTCATTTCTAAAAGAAAGTAATGGCAATGACCTCATCTGCGGTGTAACTTTCAGATAAAGGACAGTAATGTACAAATGCCTAAGATGGAACTCAGTCTTAAGAACATCAAAGCCCGCCTGAAACCTTTCGAGTATCTGGACACAAACGGCCTGTACAACACTCTTCACCTGCAACAGCTGATGCAGGAACTTGACCAAATGTATTATACTGCCAGAGATGCTCACAATAAAAACCCCAGCAAAGAGACAAATGACCTTCTCAAAGAGGTAGATCTTTCTCTTAATCCTACATCAAAAAAACAGGTCTCGAATTTTTTTTAATTTTGGTATTATTTATATAATAGCATTTATTTAGAATTAGCTTTTATTTGTATATTTTGAGTTTTCATTTTAATTTCAGTTTTAGTCATTATGTTTTTGCCTTTCATTATTTTTTCAAATATTTCTATTTAGCTTTATTTATTATTATTTATTTATGTTAGTAATTTATTTCAGTTAGTTTCCAAGGTAACATTTCTCATTGAAAGTTTTTCATGTTATATTTATATTTTATTTTAGTTAGCTTTATTTCAATTACTGAACACAATTTTAGTAGTTTTAGTTAACAATAACAACAGTCTTCTGAAAAGCCATACGATGAAAGTTTTGTTTTCAGTGTAAGAAACACTGAAATTTAAGTCATTATTCAAAAAAAATCAAGTGACAGAAAATATCTTTTGATTATGGTTTACTCATCATTTAAGTTATATGTATATATGAAGATGAACTGAAGATGACAAAAGACCATTAGTTTTGCGTCACTGTCTGACCACAATTTTACTTTTTTTTTCTTTTGTTATACTTTATATAGTGTTTGCAACATCAAAATGTTTGCGTTGTTTAAAGCAGAACTTTTAGTCTTTCGGGTCATGCTGTCATACCTGTTGGTCCTCACAGTCACAGTAAGTCCCATCTTTTACCTGTCTTAACTGAAAGTATTTTGTATTTATAGCTATTTACTGTATATTTACATTATTTTTATACAATACATATGCTGAATTGATATTGTTATTGTTCAATTAATTTTTTAAAATATTTATTATGTTTAATTTAATTTATTGATTGTGGATATTGCTGAGGTTATATAATAGTTCACTTTTTTTTTACTTCCAAAAGCATTAATAAAGGTAACAATTATCGAGATAATTTAGTAAATAATTTAATAATGTATTAAAAATGTGACTTATGCATTAAAAGTCATCCTATAATTGTTTCAATATCATTAAACACAATTATTCAGTAAATGGCAGAATTGCGTCCACTATCATTTGGTGCAGCAAATGTGTTTATGTGTGTAAATCAGGTGACTGTCGAGGCTCAGAGAATTCAAGGTGAACAGAAGGATGATTCCTGCGTGTGTAAATTAAGCAGCTCTATCTGGGCTTTTCCTACGGTGAGGTTTGAGGGAGTTCAAAAACAACTCCAGACCTGTGAGGAAAACCTTATAAAGTTTCATAATAAGGTGAGATTCTTTCAATTCATGTTAGATTCATTTCTAAAAGAAAGTAATGGCAATGACCTCATCTGCGGTGTAACTTTCAGATAAAGGACAGTAATGTACAAATGCCTAAGATGGAACTCAGTCTTAAGAACATCAAAGCCCGCCTGAAACCTTTCGAGTATCTGGACACAAACGGCCTGTACAACACTCTTCACCTGCAACAGCTGATGCAGGAACTTGACCAAATGTATTATACTGCCAGAGATGCTCACAATAAAAACCCCAGCAAAGAGACAAATGACCTTCTCAAAGAGGTAGATCTTTCTCTTAATCCTACATCAAAAAAACAGGTCTCGAAATTTTTTTAATTTTGGTATTATTTATATAATAGCATTTATTTAGAATTAGCTTTTATTTGTATATTTTGAGTTTTCATTTTAATTTCAGTTTTAGTCATTATGTTTTTGCCTTTCATTATTTTTTCAAATATTTCTATTTAGCTTTATTTATTATTATTTATTTATGTTAGTAATTTATTTCAGTTAGTTTCCAAGGTAACATTTCTCATTGAAAGTTTTTCATGTTATATTTATATTTTATTTTAGTTAGCTTTATTTCAATTACTGAACACAATTTTAGTAGTTTTAGTTAACAATAACAACAGTCTTCTGAAAAGCCATACGATGAAAGTTTTGTTTTCAGTGTAAGAAACACTGAAATTTAAGTCATTATTCAAAAAAAATCAAGTGACAGAAAATATCTTTTGATTATGGTTTACTCATCATTTAAGTTATATGTATATATGAAGATGAACTGAAGATGACAAAAGACAAAGCCGAGAAAAAAAAGGAAAACAAACATGTATTTAAAGATATGTTGACCATTATATCATCTGTGTTCCTCTCAGTTGACTAATGCAAAGGAGGACGTCCAGAACATGTACAAAAATAATATCTTCAATCTAGAGACAATGAAAACGAGGCTACGTGACCTCAACAACCGAGTGCAAACCTGTAAAACTATACCTGAAGACTTCAGAAGTAAGTACACAACTTTCAGTGAGTGGAGAAACGTTTTGACATTTACGTTGTGGTCTCATTGGTGCCCTTCAACAGTGTTGTGAAGATTGGTTTGATGGATTTTCATGAAATAGGCAGTAAAATGCTTACCTTAAACGTATGACCAATCCATACGATTCCACTTGCAGGCACTTGTCATCAGCGTATCATGTCCAACATAAGTTCTCCAGTTGTAACCAAGCTCAATTCCATCAGCAAGTCCTATATCTCAGGTGCTTGGGGTCGCGATGCGAAACGGGACAGTAAGGAACGCTACTGGGAACACTGTCTGGTGAGCGGAAACCAGCATGGCAGCACAGTCAGGATGTACAACTCATATGAAGATTTCATGGCCAACAAGAACTACAAAGATGAAAACATTGCATCATCCTACAGCCACAAGAATGCTGTTCAGGGCTCTGGGACTATACTGTACGACAACACTGTATTTTATCAATGCTACAGCACCGCTGAGATCTGCAGCTTCAACATTACAACACAAACAACCAAGCGTATGAAACTGGATGGTGCTGGAATTGAAAACAAGTTCCCTTTCTGCTACTACAGCTGCCGTGATTGGACAGACATCGACCTGGAGGCTGATCAGAACGCCGTGTGGGTGATATACGCCACAGAGGAGAACCACGGCAACATTGTTGTGAGCCGTTTAGATCCTCTGTCGCTCAATATCACACATACCTGGAAGACGCAACTCTTCAAGAGGTCCGTCACCAGCACGTTTATGGTGTGCGGGGTCCTGTATGCTACACGCTATGTTAATACTTACCAAGAAGAGGTGTTTTATGCTTTTGATACAACCACTGGTCAAGAGATAAACTTCCTTTCTTTGCCTTTTGAGAAGGTTTCTCCTGGAATAGCCAATCTGAACTACAATCCTGTTGACAGGAGACTTTACATGTATAATGATGGCTATCTTTTAGCATATAACACCTTTAACTGAGGGTCTTTCAGAGGCAGCTAATAAAAAAATATGTAATCCAAAAGTCCAAATTGCACAGCATGTTGAAAATCTCAAAATAGGCACAGTGTTTAAACTAAAGCTTTACGCTATATCATTATGTGATTGTGAGACTTTTGAAGTACTTGAGTCAGATGAACCAATTTGTCTACTTTTGTCATTACAATAAATGTGCTTATACTGCATTTCTCTGTCAGTCTCTCTTTTTTTTTAACTCGCCTTTTCTACAACTTTAATTACTGTACTGAAAACTCCACAATTTCTTTCAGTACTGCAACATTACAGTACTGGCAAGAGCCAAAATGCAACATCATTACACTATATGGCACTCGAAAGTCATTATCCTATCCGACATTGCTGCAAAGAGAAAGCTTTTAAATTTGCCAGATCAAAATATCACATGCCTGATTATTTCGGTTTACTATTTGTGAGGTAATAGTTTTTATTACAAACTTACAACCTGTAGAGTTTTGATTTGTACTTAAAAAAGTCGGGAACCCACCAGAGTGTGCAGATGTGCGCATGCGCATTCAGGTAAGAAGAAAAGTTCAGAGCTCCATGCTATCGTGTATTGTATTATGGTAGTTAAAAGATCATTTTAAAGTGATAATATTAAACACAAAATTAATTTAGAAAAATATTGGACATTAATAAAAATAACGCATAATCCTGCTTTTTACATAGTAATTGTGGCACGTCAAACTGTCATGCCACAGACTGAGTATTGAAAAGCTAATTTCAAGTAGGTACTTGTTGCTTGGGAGACTTACCTTCACAGGTAGCCTAACCGAAATGACAGCACTGTGTACAAACAACAGAGGGCAGCGTCAACCTGTATCACTAGGTAAAGCCACAGTACTGATAGCACGAGTCGTCATGTTGAACTGACAGACGGAGTATGAATTGTAACAGTTATAGTAGAGCGCATTGGCGTACATGACCATGTTTGGCCCCTGAATTGTGTTTGTTGTGGGATTGGAGTTTGATATGTATGTATCTTTTGGTCCTATACCTAATAAAAGAGTACTCAAGGTGCTGTACTGTCGGACATAGTGGCCATATACGTTACTACTTGTCAGCATCACCAGCCAGTACTTGTTCTCGTCTCCTGGAGCAGGTTTTGCATCTCGACCCCAAGCACCATAAGGGTAGGAGGTGCTGTATACCGTGATGGAATACGTTCTAGGTCCCACCACATTTACCATTTGACCCAGACCACACCGTCCTGAAAGCACAGAAGAAAAACAGAAAAACTCAATAGCCATAATTTGTAATAGACACCCTTCTTATCTCATCACGTTCAACTTCTACTGCAAATTGGGGTGAATTGTAACGTCTTTTATCATGTGGCTTTATATTCAGCAGCCATGCCATAGATTCGTGCCCCCGCTAACAAGCAGTGCAGGAAATACTGATAGTCGATATTAAGATTGTACAAAGGAAGATAAGAGTTAATCGGAAAACAATGTTTTTACTCAACACTAGTGGCTAATAATGGAAAAAAGTGACTATTGAGGTCTTTAGCGTACCTGGGGAAACTGTAGGAGGTGGTGATGAAGCCTTGAGCTCATCTTTGCACTGTTCCAAAGTCTTATTGATTTGGTTCTCTCGATACTTTTTAATCACTTGCATTTTGTCAAACTTCTCCAACTCCACCATTGTGTGCTTCATATCTTCAAGCTTTAAGACAAAGAGAGAAAATAAGAGGAATTTAGGCAGTTCAAAAAATGAGTAATGAAATATCGTTTCACAAAACAGCAACAACATCCCATCCTTTATTATGTCCATTTAGATAACACTGATTATTAAAGGCATCATAATTTATATGAACATATATTATTTACAATGTCATTTTTTTTTACATTGCTTTATATCTCACCACTATTTGAACGTATATATATAGCTTATATTATTGTTGTTTGTGTGTATTTATTTTATTTACATTTATAGTTTAAATTATTAGATAATTTTTTTAATTTCCTCTTTTTGTTCTTATGTGAATACATTACATTGCAATGATTCTATGGATTTGTTTTCAATTTGAAGAACTTTCTTTGTACTGCAACTCACCTGAGCTGCAGCCTGTACACCTAGATGATGGTAATCGCTGGTGGTCCTGTTGAGTTTGTTGAGGAGGTCCTGAATTTCGGCAAACTCTAACTCAATGATGCGCAGAGACACAGCCGCATACAGATTGCTGTTTTCTTTTTCTAGCTTGACCACATTCTCCTCTAGTTGCTTGATACGTTGTTGTAGACCCAACACAAGTCTGTCTAAGTCTGTCATCTACAGATAATTACATTAACATTATTCATTTAATTTGATTGAATTTACTAAAACTATTTAGAATTCATTTGAATTAAATATAAAGAAAAATGTGTTTAAATAAAAAAATAACCTTTTCTGAAGTGATGCTCCCTATGCATTTCAAAGCTGTGGTGTCTACTTTTGTAAGTTCATCTTTAGGAAAAGGAGGATCTACATTTTTTAGATCGCACACACATTCTTTCCCTGTTTCTGACTGTGATGAATGAATCACAGGAAATTGAATGATACATTAAAATAATTATTTTTTTTAATTCAATGCATTCTCCATAACAATATATTAGACATAGTACTTGGAGAAATAAGGTATCAGTAATAATTGATGTAAATGATTTTATCTTCCTTACCTGAGAGAAACTTAATGGGATGGCAATCATCAAAATGAATATATAGGACGGATTCATATCTAAAGCTGCAAAGAGACACTATAACCTTAAACAACTTGTCTGGCAGCAGCAGAGTTTTAAAGCCATATCATTATGATGAAATAACTGAAATATAAAGAAAAATGTGTTTAAATAAAAAAATAACCTTTTCTGAAGTGATGCTCCCTATGCATTTCAAAGCTGTGGTCTCTACTTTTGTAAGTTCATCTTTAGGAAAAGGAGGATCTACATTTTTTAGATCGCACACACATTCTTTCCCTGTTTCTGACTGTGATGAATGAATCACAGGAAATTGAATGATACATTAAAATAATTATTTTTTTTAATTCAATGCATTCTCCATAACAATATATTAGACATAGTACTTGGAGAAATAAGGTATCAGTAATAATTGATGTAAATGATTTTATCTTCCTTACCTGAGAGAAACTTAATGGGATGGCAATCATCAAAATGAATATATAGGACGGATTCATATCTAAAGCTGCAAAGAGACACTATAACCTTAAACAACTTGTCTGGCAGCAGCAGAGTTTTAAAGCCATATCATTATGATGAAATAACTGATGAAAGTGAGAGAGAAGACTTTATATCTTTGGGTGGAGCAGGTCATCTGTTGCAACAGAGTTTGCTTTTAATTTTCATATTTTGTCTCACTATCTAACTGATGCTGAACTGGACTGACAGTGTCTTGAAGATTTATTTATCAAGTTCAAAGGCTTAGCACATTGAGCTTTTTTTAGGCTTTTATAGGGTGTGCAAAATGCAATAAAATGTGTAATTTTACATTAACAGTAAAATTTCACCCTAAATGGGCATTTTAGATCACTGCTTATAAAATGCTTTATTTGTTTTCCTTTAGCAATTGATTTTTTTATTGAACAGTAGTTCTTTATACCAAAATTTTTTTTAATGAGCAGTTTAAAATTAATGTGGGAAAAAAATTACGCATGAAGAAATAAGAGAGGATGTGTTGTCTTATCTCCGTGGACACATTTGGCTGGTCCATGAGTAAAGTGAAACAAATGCCTTGTCTCACGATCTCACCGCAATGTTGCTTTATATAATGTTTGCAACATCTAGTGTTTGCGTGCACGTTCAAAATAGGATCTTTTGCTCATCAGACTGTCATAGCCTACCTGTTGGTCCTTTCTTTTCCCTGTCATGTCCAGATAGCTCTGTCCCTGCTGTGAGGTTTGGAAGTCTCAAAATCAGAACCAGAGTGTGCACATGCGTGTCAGGTGACCGTAAGTGTTCCAGAACCTAGGTCTACCGAGAACATATGTTATGAGACGGTATTATTATTATTTTACAATATGAAATTTTGTTAATCGCTTCCCCCCGATTAATTGTTTGTACATAGATGTGCAATCGTGCTCTTGACATTTGTCATTAAAGTAACATCACAGAAACTGCCTAAAATGAAGTATAAAGAAGAGAAGAAAGTAGTGTCTGCGCGTTACCACCCTAGGCTGCTGCCTATTTTGCCTATGCTAGGATCCTCCACTGACTGTCCTGTCACAGACTGACTGAATATTGAGAAGCTAATTTATACTTATCTGCTGAGGATCTACATTACACTGAAAATACAACCGAAGCATCATCTCAGCTAGCAATACCCTTGTTTGTACCATTTACTGTTTTTGTTTAGGTGGAGGTTTTATTTTTCATATATGAAATGTTAATTGGTGAAATTACATAGCCTATGTATATCACTATGCGTCCAGCTATGAATATTTAAATCAAGCATAATGTAAGCATTATGTTCTGCAAATGTATCTGTGTGTAGTGTTTATGTCTGTATAATGTAGTAAATCAGCACTAATATTTTCACTCAAATTTTATTTCAAGAACCAAAATGTGATACATAATGATTTTCCAATTTCAAAACATAAATTTTTAGATGATCAAATATGTAAAATCATAACACTTATTGGTGAATAAAAGACAAGATATCATTAATCAAGTTCAGTGAACTTGCTAAAACATAATTTCATATGTCACAATGTAGGCATCACTGTAGACATACAGCAAATGATCTCTGGGGTCATAATTCATATACTTAATATTAGTCTGCAACTTCTTAATGTGAATTCTCAAATCATAGCGTTCTTCGTTGGTCTTGGTGTCATAATAGTAAAAGATCTCTTCTATTTCTTTATCCACGTAACGAGTAGCATAAAGCACACCGCACACCATGAAGGTGTTTGTCGCAGTCTTTTTGTGAAGAGAAGTGAACCATGTTTTGTTCAAAACTGGCGGGTTACTAGTCTCGACTTTACTGATAATCACATTTCCGAAGTTGTTTGTGGTCGCATATATAACATAGACCCCAGATTCATCTGTGGCAAAATCCATATCAGTATAACTGTATGTTGTGCCGAGGTGTGCGAATGGAAACTTGTTGTTGTATCCTGTATCACTAGGTAGAGCCACAGTACTGACAGAACGAGTCGTCATGTTGAACTGACAGACGGAGTATGTGTTGTAACAGTTATAGTAGAGCGCATTGGCGTACATGACCATGTTTGGCCCCTGAATTGTGTTTGTTGTGGGATTGGAGCTTGATATGTGTGTATCTGTTGGTCCTATACCTAATATAATAGTACTCAAACTATTATATTGGCGGATAAAGTTGCCGAATGCATTACTACTGGACAGCACCACCAGCCAGTACTTGTTCTCGTCTCCTGGAGCAGGATGTGCATCTCGACCCCAAGCACCAAAAGAGTAGGACGTTCCGTGCACTGTGAGGGAATACGTTTTAGGTCCCGATACGTTGACCATGCGGCCCAGACCACAGTGACCTAAAAAGATAGAAGCAAAAATGTAAGTCTAATATTTTAATGCTTTAGCTGTGGTTACGTAATTATGATAAACTAGTTCATATGTACCTGGGGAAAGTGTAGGGGCTGGTGATGTACTATTGAGCTCTGTTTTGCAATGTTCCAGGTCCCTCTTAATATGCTGGTTCTCACGCTGTTTCACCATCACCTGCGTGTGGTCAAACTTCTCCAGCTCGGTCATCGTGTTCTCCATATCCTGAAGCTGCAGAATGAGGGATTAAATAAGTATTTGCAAAGTGCACATAATTCATTACAAGTGTTTAATTCATTACGATTAATATTAATATTCACTTTTCTTGACGTGACATATATTTATACTTATCACAAAGCACTGCAGAAATAAATACAAAAATTAATTAAAATAAAAAAATATTTACGCATAAAAAATGAACATATTTCAATTTAATTAGAATTTTATTACATTTAATAAAATATTCATATTTAATTTAAATACAAATTTTTATTTAATTTAATTAAATAAATATTTTCTTTAATGTAATATATTTCAAACGTTATCATATCACAAAGCATTGCAGAAAAGAAAAAAAACCATAAAAATAATTAAATTAAATATTTTAATTACATTAAATATTCTCATATATATATATATATATATATATATATATAAAATAAACTTTCAAGGAAATATTTATTTAATACATTTCGAGCATTATCATGTTTTACAACACCTAATGTGACTATGAAACCACATTATTAGTATTTTAATCTTCTTATGAATGCAAATGAATATGACTGAAAATGATCAGTGTTGGCGAGGAATTATTTTATTCTTAGCATTACATACTACATCACAATAAACTCGTTTCCTATACTTATTATACAAATGGAAATTGTACCTCTGCAGCAGCTTGTACACTGAGCTGCTGGTAATTGTTAGTGGTTCTGTTGAGTTTGTCCAGAAGGTCTTGAATCTCAGCTAACTCTAATTCAATAATGCGTAGAGACACGGCTGCATACAGATTTCCGTTGTCTTCTTTTTCCAGCATGGACACATTGTCCAGAAGCTGCCGGATACGGTGTTGTAGACCCAACACCAGCCTGTCAATCTCTGTCATCTTATTGAAAAGGTAACAGTTAAATAAGACATTTTCCATCAGTAATAGATTTGTAAATAATTATACTGCAAATTATAAAAAATTTTTTCATGCATACCTGATTTTAGGGCTGCACAATTAATCGTTCAGAGTCCACTTATGTTATTCTGCACGCTTAAGATATGTTTTTTTCTTTCTACATGTTATCTTAAGGGTTTTTCTATTGTTTTAGTTTTAGTATAACATTATAATACCATTCATATTTTTACTCTTTTTTTATAATTTGAAGAAAGCAATCCGATGTATATTTGACATTTGAGGCTTAATACTATAGAAAAGCAGTAAAGGTTTTTCAGTTAGAGTGTTTTCAGCTTGTTGCATCAAACAATGGTATAAACATCATTCAATGCAAATTGTGATAATCGTAATTAATAATCGCAATTACAATTTCAAGGGAATAATCGACAATTATGATTTTTGTCATAATCGTGCAGCCCTACCTGATTTGCAACCCTAAACATCACAATATTGACATGTTTCTTTCTACCTTTTCCGAAGTGATGTTCCCAGTGCATTGTGTAGCAGTGAACTCAACGTTATTGAGTTTATTCTCAGGGAAAGCAGGATCAGAATTGTGTAGCTCACACACACAGTCCTTCCCTCTCGCTGACTGTGACTATGAAATAACAGTGCATACATAAATCCAACATACAAGCAATATCATGCCTTAAACATTGTAATATATAAAAATATTGAAAAATGGTGTCAGAAACATAAATAATGGATAATAAATAAATAATACAATAAAAATAATGGTAAAAATTAAATTTTACCTGTGAGAAAATTAGAGGAATGACAACCATCAAAATGAATATGTTCGACTGACTCATGTTTGAGATAGGACAGGTCGGTATCCTGCAGCCTTGAGAATAAAGAACAGTTCTGCATGTCAGAAGCTCAGATTTAAAGCCAAAAACCCAGGATCGCTTAGTGAGGCGACTGTTTCTGCTGACATGAGAGAAATTACGAAATGAGGAAGTTTATCATGTGATCCTGCAAATATTTTGGATTATGATTTTTGTTCATATTGTCATCATATAGTATATGTGATTGATAGGTACGTACTAGAAAATTATTTCATTGCCATAACCAGTGTTGGGGGTAATATATTACAAGTAACGCAAGTTACGTAATCAGATTACTTTTTTCAAGTATCTAGTAAAGTAACGCATTACTTTTTAATTTACAAGAGAATATCTGAGTTACTTTTTCAAATACTTTTTTCCCCCAATTTATTGATTGACAGCTCTCCTGTCCCCATGTTGAGAGAAATCAGAAGACGTTACTGTAGTTCAAAATAAATATGAATATGCATTAATTCATCTCACTCACACAAAAAAAAACTGATTCAGTATTCCTCAAAATGAATAAAAATAATGCAACTCAGAATATGACGCAAACCTGCAATAAATGTTAAACAACACAAATATACTTTATGTATTTAATCCCATTCTATTAACCAATGTCTTTGCTTCTGACCTTCGATGATCCAGTTCAACCATAATAATAAGCAAAAATTACTCTAGACAAACATTTGTGTGTTTTTTTTATTGCTGAAGTGTGTTGAAATTTCTTCTGCATTCTACTGTACGGACTTAAATTTACATTCCTTCAGCCTGAGGCTTATTCATTTCACTTTTGGTGTGAAAAGGCTTTTATATTTGCCAAAAATAGAACTTTTTTATTTTAAAATCAAACAAGCAAGCCCTGTCCAGATTTAAAAAGTAACGCAAAAGTAACGTAATGCATTACTTTCCATAAAAAGTAACGAAGTAACGTAATTGGTTACTTTTTTATGGAGTAACGCAATATTGTAATGCATTACTTTTTAAAGTAACTTTCCCCAACACTGGTCATAGCCATTTGTAAGCAGAGGTGAATACCAGTTTTGCTGACATGACAATAAAAAGTTATACATTTCCTCTTCATGAATTGGCTATTTTTCTTGAGATTATTAGTAAAATACATGTATAATTCAGGCTGTTTAACATTGTACTGACATAAGGAAAAAAAGCAAACATAACTAAAAGATTGTGTTTCCTTTATTTCTGCTATTTCAATATGATGATGCAATACCGAAACAAATTTGCATAATAAAAGTGCAGATATCTGCATAAAATGCAGGATTACCTGGGGTGGTAACCTTTTTTTTAGAGAACTTGTGGTTGAATTTTCCTACATTTCTTAACTAAATTTCTTCCTGAATTTCAGAAATGAGACATGTGCAGTTTTCACATCCTTTTCAACAGCCCCGCAAAACTGCTCATTTGCATAGCTAAAATTGCAACATCTTAGTGCATGTGTGGTGATTTAAAGCAGATCTCTAGTCTTTCAGCCCATTTGGTCATCATGTTCGTCTACCTGCTGCTCCTCACAGTCATCGTAAGTTTTTCTTCCATGAATAAGGTCATATGTTCCTAGCATTCCGACAACTCTGAAAAAGAATGATTTTGAGAGAAAATATGAGAGAATTGATCTATGATACAATAATCTGATTGTGTTTGTACATTAGGTGACTGTCGAGGCTCAGCGAGTTCCAGGTCAACAGAAGACTGATTCATGTTTGTGTAAAATAAATAGCTCTATCTGGACTTTCCCTGCTGTGCAGTTTATGGAAGTCACAAGACAGGTCCAGATCTGTGAGGACAACCTGAATGAGTTTGAGGAAAAGGTAAGGTATCGATTAAGCTTCTCATGACAATTAGAACTATGGACACTGTATTGACTTTCAAATGATATTCATTACAATTTAGAAGAATATCAGTTAACTTTCTGTAGTGACTTGCAGTTGAGGAACACAAATGCAGAACTGCCGATGATGGAAGCCACTCTGCAGAACATCTCAGCCCGTCTGAAAGCATTTGGTTACCTTCACACAAGTGGACTGTACAGCGCACTTCATCTGCAACAGCTGAACCAGGAACTTGAGGAAATCCATCAATCTGTCAATGAAACGCACATGCAGAACCCCAACAAAGAGACGCATAACCTACTCAGTGAGGTAGACATTGCAACACATGATCACAAATATTTCTCTAAACTCCTTTCTTTCAAATCAATATCGAATTAGAGATAACAACCATCTCAACAATATAAAAGTATAGGTGTCCAATTTAAGAGACCGTCTGTTGTTCTCAGTTAAATAAGGCGAAAAATGATGTCCAGAGGATGTACAAAGATGATTTCTTCAACCTAGAGACCATGAAGAAGAGGTTACGTGACCTCAACAACCGTGCACAGAGTTGCAAGACCATGCCAAATGATTTCAGAAGTACGTACAATACTGTCTTTCATAAGTTATTTTTTTTATGAAGGTAGGATATAGAAACTTTTAAGGAACATACACTCTTAAAAATAAAGGTGCTTCAAAAGGTTCTTCAAGCGATGCCATAGAAGAACCATTTTTGGTTCCACAAAGAACCATTCAGTCAAAGGCTCTTTAAAGAACCATCTCTTTCTTACCTTTTTGTAATCTGAAGAACCTTCTTTCGCTACAAAGAACCTTTTGTGAAACAGAAAGGTTCTTCAGATGTTAAAGGTTCTTTATGGAACCATTCAGACAAAAAGGTTCTTCTATGGCATTGTGAAGCACCTTTATTTTTAAGAGTGCAATTGCTTTTAAATGCCATTTTCTGAATTATGAAGGTCCAAAAAGGTTTTAAACTAAAAAACCGTGTTACTAAATTACTTGCAGGTACCTGCCATCAGCGCATCATGACCAGAATAAGTTCTCCAAGCATGACCAAGCTCAATTCCATCAGCAAGTCCTATATTTCAGGTGCTTGGGGCCGTGATGCCCTGCTAAGCAATAAGGAACGCTATTGGGAACACTGTCTGGTGAGTGGACACAAACATGGCAACACAATCAGGATGTACAACTCACGTGAAGACTTCATGGCTAACAGGAACTACAAGGACGAACAGATAGCATCATCCTACAGTGACAAAAATGCCGTTCAGGGCTCTGGCACTATTCTGTACGACAACACTGTATTTTATCAATGCTACAGCACCGCTGAGATCTGCAGCTTCAACATTACGACAAAAGCGACCAAACGTATGAAACTGGAGGGTGCTGGAATCGACAAGTTCCCTTTCTGCTACTACAGCTGCCGTGATTGGACAAACATCGACCTGGAGGCTGATCAGGACGCCGTGTGGGTGATATACGCCACCGAGGAGAACCACTACCTTTTTCATCTAACACTCAGAATTAATTTAGAGTTAGGGAATGACCTTTTGAGAGACCCAAACATGCAAGGGAACACATCTTCTTTCAATTTAAAAGTCTCTAGGTCTAAACTTTGCACCCCCATATTAAATATATACAGTACACACACACACACACACACACACACATAGACACACATCACTGATTCTTGATAAGGGACAAAACATGCTTTAAAATGTGACTTTATTATACATTATTTATACATTGATATATTTGTAGAGAAAGATCTCCGATAATGAACCATGTAAGGGACCAGATTTTTCTGAAATTTTTTTTTTCTAAAAATTTACATTACTTTGCTTCATAGCTTAATTTGTGTCAACTCCGTCAGATGCATTAAAAGCATGATATTTTAATTTGATCCACCCAATAACAGTGTGAAGTCTTCAATTATGTAATAATGGTGTTCAGTAAAGGAGCTGAAGTGATTAACAGAAACCTTCATCTGACAAAAAATGACGGAGCTGACAAAGGTCCAACTGAGGTTACAACCAGTGTTGGGGAAAGTTACTTTTAAAAGTAATGCATTACAATATTGTGTTACTCCATAAAAAAGGAACTAATTACGTTACTTAGTTACTTTTTATGGAGAGCAATGCATTACGTTACTTTTGCGTTACTTTTTAAATCTGGACAGGGCTTGCTTGTTTGTTTTTAAAATAAAAAAGTTATATTTTTGGCAAATATAAAAGCCTTTTCACACCAAAAGTGAAATGAATAAGCCTCAGGCTGAAGGAATGTAAATTTACGTCCGTACAGTAGAATGCAGAAGAAGAAATTTCAACACACTTCAGCAATAAAAAAAACACACAAATGTTTGTCTAGAGTCATTTTTGCTTATTAGTATGGTTGAACTGGATCATCGAAGGTCAGAAGCAAAGACATTGGTTAATAGAATGGGATTAAATACATAAAGTATATTTGCATTTAATTATTACAGGTTTGCGTCATATTCTGAGTTGCATTTTTTTATTCATTTTGAGGAATACTGAATCGGTGAATTAATGCATATTCATATTTATTTTAGAACTACAGTAACATCTTCTGATTTCTCTCAACATGGGGACAGGAGAGCTGTCAATCAATACATTGGAAAAAAAAGTAACTTGCGTTACTTATTTGAAAAAGTAACTCAGATATTCTCTTGTAAATTAAAAAGTAATGAGTTACTTTACTAGTTACTTGAAAAAAGTAATCTGATTATGTAACTCGCGTTACTTGTAATGTGTTACCCCAACACTGGTTACAACAAATGATTGACAAGACAACTAATTAAGGCAACTAATTTTTAAACTGATATTTAATTTAATACAATAATCATTCTCGTGGATGTCTCAATCAGAGTCTCCAGTAGCATAAAAAATACAAGAAGCTAATGTCAGGTTCAGTGTAATGGTAAACATTATTATGTGCTGCCCTGTAGCAGCAACAGAAATTTTCCTAATATAAATCCAAAGGATCTGTAGGCTGTCTTTAAACCCCATCAATTACGGAATAGTTTTTGTGCCTGACCGGCATGACTAAAGCAATGGTCAACTGGCATGTTCACTCTCTATGAAGTCCATTACTTCTGAATTTACTATTGCTAGGAAATAGGAAAGGGTTCCTCAGAGTTAAAGTTAAAATAATAGAAAGTCACATTTTGACATTACCTGATTTATTCAGTTGATGCAAAGTGAGGACACAACTTTTGATATTTTTCAATTCAATTCAATTCAAGTTTATTTGTATAGACAACAAATGATTGACAAGACAACTAATTAAGACAACTAATTTTTAAACTGATATTTAATTTAATACAATAATCATTCTCGTGGATGTCTCAATCAGAGTCTCCAGTAGCATAAAAAATACAAGAAGCTAATGTCAGGTTCAGTGTAATGGTAAACATTATTATGTGCTGCCCTGTAGCAGCAACAGAAATTTTCCTAATATAAATCCAAAGGATCTGTAGGCTGTCTTTAAACCCCATCAATTACGGAATAGTTTTTGTGCCTGACCGGCATGACTAAAGCAATGGTCAACTGGCATGTTCACTCTCTATGAAGTCCATTACTTCTGAATTTACTATTGCTAGGAAATAGGAAAGGGTTCCTCAGAGTTAAAGTTAAAATAATAGAAAGTCACATTTTGACATTACCTGATTTATTCAGTTGATGCAAAGTGAGGACACAACTTTTGATATTTTTCAATTCAATTCAATTCAAGTTTATTTGTATAGCGCTTTTCATGATACAAATCGTTGCAAAGCAGATTTACAGAAAATTAAGTTTCTACAATATATATTTAGTAGTAGCTGTCAAATTGATGTACATATGGCAGAAATGTACGGTAAAATTCAATTAATGACGTAATCAAACAGACGATGAACACTATTAACAGCAATGATTATATGTTGCAATCAAACTTGTAGCAAAATTTGGTAGTTGTTGTTTTAGGGTTTGCATCATCTCTTCTCAGGTGTTCGGTCATCTCAGGTCTTAATTTTTTTTGTGGGAAATAGAATTCAAGATTTACTTTTTGTATTGTTTGATATATTACAAATCTTTGCCTTTCAATATAAATGTATAGTTTTAAATTTGTTGCATTTTTAAACACTTTATTTGGCAGTTGTACATTGCGACCTCCTGCTGAGGACATGTTAAATTACATGTATCTCCAAGTTTAGTAGAGCATGTATTTAAAATAATATTAAATAAATAATGTTTTTTAAAAAGCAATGAATGCCTTAAGTATGCAGATTTCCTTTAGATGTAACTTCCTAAATACATTTATTTTAATGAATTTCTTCATTTTTAACATAAAGAGGGCTTTTTTGCGTGTGTCCCTTATCTCAAGAATCAGTGATATATATATTTATATTTAAATGTTACGTTTTTGAAATTCAGTTGTATGCATTTGTCATTTTTATTTAATTTCTTTATTTTTAAAATGTGTATAAGTAGTATTTATAAAGTTTTAGCTTTTAGTTTTGGATCTGTTTTTAGTTGTTTTAATACTACACTTGATTGCTTCTGTTGTCCTCATTTGTAAGTCGCTTTGGATAAAAGCGTCTGCTAAATGACTAAATAAAAAAATAAAATAAATAAAAAATAAATAAAAAATATATATATTATTATTAGAGCGAAAAGGGGATTACGATAAAAAAAAAATAGGGAAATGGAAAAGATAAAATTAGAAAAAATGGTTAAAAAGATTAGGAAAAAGTAAGAAAGAATTAGGTTTAGGAAGGTAAGGGTTAAGAGCCCTACCCATTTAATGATTCAACTGCCCAATGTACAATATTAAATTACAAAAATGCTTTTTAGACTTGACTTGTGAACACATCTGGTAGGTGCTGCTTTAACCCTCATAATTGTACTCAGTGTAAAACGGGCAGGCAAAAATACTGAGGTATTTTGAACAAATTTGCACCTGTACAAACATACCTATATCATGGCGTTTTAGTTTTTCGTGTTCCAGCTTGGAATGGAGACGGTCCACTTCCTCATGTTGTAGATCTAGCTGAAAAGCCAGTCGCCATGGAAGCATGTGAGTACGTACACACACACACACACACACACACACACACACACAGATACATGAGCAAAATGACATAGAAACAGAGTCTATGTAATCATAAAGCACTCAAATGACACCTGTTGATTAGTAAGGGCACTATCAAAGATCATACGAAATGTAATATCACCTGTTTGTGTAAGATCTTGACCTCTTCAAGTAGCCTCGTCACACACATTACCTGTTGCTGATAGGTAAAGAGAGCCTGCGACCTTCTAAGAAACAAAGACACCACTAACCTGGTTATCAGATGTTGTTTAATACGTTTTAGATTATCAATGGTGCTTGCGAAGATTATTGCCCATATTTGGGGTTAGGACAAACTTAGCAACTACCCAGAACACCCTAGCAACTGCATAAGTCAGTGAAGATTGACACAAGCCAAATCCATGTCCATCTCCACCTCTCGTAAACTCAGGGAGAAAACAGGATTTCTCATCTCTAGGTCTAAAGGAAAATGTGTAGAATAAAAAACAAAGTTGTAAGTGTGTGTTCATGAGTGTGTGTGTATGCCTCACCTGTAGTAAAGGGTGGCAGGTAGCTCATGAGAATGCTGTTAGTCCAATCATCTTTCAGCTCTCTGAATAAAATACCAAAACAAAATTACTAAATTTCTTTCAGAAGTCATAGAGTATCATCAAAATACATTTTTAAAAACAAGTGTGACTGCTTAATAATCAATGCCGGATTACTGTTTGATAGTGTTATTTTATTTTTAAGTGCCTAATAAATATTTATGAATATTTAAATATTTGAATACAGATTTTTTTAAATGAAATAGATGCATTAACTACAGAAAAATTTTGAGGTTAATTGCAATTCAATATTTTAATAGATTCACAGCCCTAACTATTAATAAAAAGTAATTTATTGTATTTATATATACACATATATATATATATATATATATCATGCTGCCAGTTATATACCACCTGGTCTATAGATGGCACTGTTTCTTTAAACAATAAAAAAATCAGAAACCCCTGCCTCATTTCCGATGTCATTTTGGTCTCACAGACAGAACCAGATGTTTAATGATCAGCATAAAGTCTAGTTTAAAGTCAGTTTTATGGCCAAGAACGAGCCACTCAGATCAACCATCTGTTCAATATGTCCAACTGCCTTGTTTTATTTGACATTTATGATAAAAGGTCCAAGTGATAAATATAACTGGCATTTTGAGAAACATTTTTATATAAATTTTTTGTGCAATATGCATTAGATAGTTGTATATAGATAATTATTGTTATACATTTAGATGTAAATTCCAACAACCGTATGACAGCATAACGCATTGTGGGATGCATTATCAGTACTTGAACTGGTCATTGAGCAGAGGGTCATCGGTGAGCCCGTGGCATTTGAAGAAACCATTTGCATCAGTGTCAGCGTGGGCAACAAGTGTATCATATTTCCATACTACAGACTGAGTCTTAAAAAAAAAAAAACTAAATGTAAACAACAGAGGGCAGTATCTATACAATATCCAAGCTTCTAGGCTTTGTTCATTAAATAATTTGTAAAGACACAGTAGCACTGATATACCTTGTCATTTACAAAGTAGAACAAGTACAAGAGGACTGAGAAGGTCCAAACAGAAACAATTGTGGATGTGTTTACCTCCATGATGTAGCTGCCAATCCCAAGGTGCTGGTAGCGTTTCCTAACAGCCAAAAGAGACAGCTAAAGCACCATGTCTCCTGTAGATCTACAATTTCACAGACAGAAACCAAAGACTCCATATCATTGTTCTGATTAAATCAGCTTGTTTCTTGATTTAATTCACATTACATTTCTGAGAAACATCCATTTTAACTGTCACAATGAGACGTTGTGAAAATGCTTTGTAGAATGCAATAAACAATAAGTTTATCTGATCATACTTTACATTTTGTGCAATATCCATATTTTGTCTGTGTAAGTAACTTCCTCTTTATTGCAAAAATGACTATAAAATGCAATTGACAAAGATTTACTGCATTGTCTGATGATGTTATGGGATGCTAACAGAAGAAAAGTATCTTGCTTTAAAGCATTAGTGTTTTATTTCACAAAATAGTATTATATGGCTCTTTCACAGCTGTTTGATTGAATCAGGCACAGTGCTTGTACTTTGCTTACATTATCTCGAGTTCGTAGCAAGCAGCAGCCACGATCAGGGATTCAACTCCTACGGAGGATGGTGGGATCTCTCCATCTTCTTCTTCTTGTACTGCTCTTCTTTCTTTCCTATCCCTCCCTCCATCCACAAATTCCTGTAGGCCTTCACAGAATCGCTCCCAAGACTATGGAGAACAGAAAACAAACTTTATTTTTAAAAATGTTCTTGATTGTTTTTAGTAACAGAACAGTAACTAGAACACTTGAATTTAAACTATAAGAAGAGACAGAGGAAACAGGATTAGGACAGGTCTGAACCTCCATTTCCCACATGAGCACCAAAACTCAATGTATGGTAAGGCTCTGATAACATTATGACTGCATTCAAAAGTTAAAATAATTATTTGGATATTCACGTGTCTATACATTTACTATAATCCAAATAAAATTTGTATTCCTTTTGTGAATCTGGGTAGAAGTTTTGTACAAAACCACATTTTAATCATTTGCAACAATATCCTGTCACACCATGCACTAATATTATCTCAGTAAGTGACCATAATAGGATACAATTGTCACTAAACCTGTATAACACAGTTGTTGTCATAGAAACATACATGCATGGTGACATTTGTCATTGTAATTGACCATAATAAGGTCATGATGATCTCTGTTCAATGTCCTTCCAAAATGTAATGAATAAATATATAAAAATTCACTTCTTTCCAGATCTATGCCTATAGGAGGAGAGATAAAGCTGATAAGGAACACTTGGCAAACTGTTTGCCAGAGAGGATCTGGGAAAAAGCCCTTGTAATCCCATTATCTTTAATAGAATCAATAAACGATTTGTGCCGAGACATGTC